AAAATAAATCTACTAAAAGTAATGCAGGAGAAAGGTGGGGTATCCAGACAGAGCATTCAGACATTAACTTGGAGCAGATTGGTTTTAACAGCTGGTGACTCAAGAAGGGATGTCTGTCTGCTGGAGAGCACCTAGCGCAGTTTTGCTTTCATTTTACACATTTTGCTTATGTGGCACAGCCTCTCTGCCCGCAGCTTTGCACCGGCCTATCTGTTCACCATCCATGCCCACCAGGACGCCCGCTCCTGGAGACCAGGCCTCCTCACTCAGTGCTGAAGCAGCACTAGGAGAATGAAATGGTGAGATGCGGGATGACAGTGTCTGAGGGAGCCCGTGACGGGGGCCTGGGGTCAGGACTGGGCAGGCCGTCGCTGCAGGTACCTAGAGCTCTTAAGGCGCTGTCTCTGGACTGAACTCTGATTATTAAAAAGCCAAGAATTTCCTCACTAGCCAGTTCCCCTTCTGAGCCCAGAGGGTGGAGATCTAATGAATTCTCCTTCCTCAGGGAATGCTCCTTGGGCAAACACCTATTGAGAGAGAAGACACAGAATTTCCAATTCAGAGGGATATTCCCAGAACAGATACAGAAGGACCCTGCACCAAAGCAGCCCTCAGATCATGGAAAACGGAGGCAGCTGCGGTCTGCAAGGCCTCTGATGAGAAGCCTGGGAAGCTCGGTCATACGCACTCCAAACCTGCTGGCGTGTTGGGCTCAGAATGAAACACACTGAAAACCAGGGGCTACTGAGGCCACAGCTGCCCCAGGCGCTTCCTAAGAGCCGTTGAGAGCCAGGACACAGGCTCCTCACACACCTCTGGGGGTACAAATTCACAATGTCTCCAGTGTCCCCTAAGTCCCAGCTCCTTGGGAACTGGGCAGGGTAGCCAGAATCAGGGGTGATGCAGGACAACCAGTTAAACGAAATATTCAGGACACCCTTCCACCCAGAAAGCCTCTGCTCCGCACCCAAGGACCGGGCCTCCCAGGGTCTCTGAGAGGCTCAGGGGTGAGGCCCACACAGGAGCTGAGGACTCAGTCTTCAAAGCTGGAGAAATGAACCACCAAGAGTAAGAAGAAGAAAAAAGAAATCAGGCACTCCCAGGTACACAAGGTAAAGTCAACTGTGTTCACAAAATTAAAGACAAGCAGTAGAACAAACAAGGAACACACCACCCAGAAAGCCCGGCATAAAGGAAAAGAGATTCAAATCCAGACCTGTCAACACAAACCCCAAAGACAGAAAAGCCAGAAAGATCTAAAAGAGAAAAGGAGGTTGTAAAACTGGATGAAAACAATCAAGGTCAAAGTACCTTACCTTTTTCCAGGAATTAGCACTGTACCTGTAACTTCTACTCACAAAGGATCAACAAAGGTCACAAGGTACATGGTGTGCAGTGGACACAGGAGCAGTGGAAAGAGCAGAACACCACCCCTGGCTGCCTCACTAGATACTCCACTGCGAGTTTCGCTGAAGTTACGTATGTTTCTGGTATTTTACTACCCTTCCAGTATTAATGAACACTATATATACTTGCATGTTGGTGAAGGGAAACACAAATTTTCAACTTACAAGCCAAACACACACACAGACACGCGCGCGCGCACACACACACACACACACACACACACACACACACTCCTAGCAGGGAGAAACTGCACCCAGGGTGCTGGTGTTCAAGGGCTCCGACCTAAGAAGCACCCTTGCACTAGTCCAGAATCCTCCTCTCCTGAAGTGACAGACGCCTCCCAGCCCCTGCCGCCTGCACAGCAGGCTCACGTCCTGCCACATGCACGTGAGTACACAGCTTTGTGCAGATCGCCTCAGACTCACTTGGCTTTGCTCTGATGAGAGGCTGGTTCTGATTTTCCTTGGTCACTCCTCCTTTCTAACACACATACAGCAAAATGCAAATCCTTCTCTATGAAGCTCTGTTCTCTTTAGATCCTGGAGGACTCACAATTTCTTCCTGTAACATGTAATTCTCTAAAACAGTATTTCATTTGCTTAGCAATTCTAATTTCACAGTGATTCCACTAACCCTCACAACTATGACCCAACTACAAGCAACTCAACAGCCAGTCCTTTCCTGGTGGCCTCTGAGGTGAGACTCTGGGGACAAACACCTGCGCTATGCTCTATCTGAAAGTCCATGTAAAGAAGCCACCTTCTCTTGGTCACAGGACAGGCTAGGGAAAAACGAAGAGAGAGGCCTTTGAGCAGGGACTGTGCTTCTTCATATGCTAATTGCTACCTTGGTTAACAGCCCACCCAGGGGCAAATGGTATGACAAAAGGTGACCCTAGAATATTTCCTGCTCCAGATAAGCAATGTGTTTGCAGTCTTGTTCTGTGAATTCCCTGACTCTTATAAAAACCTTAAAACCTTATAAAAAGTACCTCAGCCCCTGAGCAGTTGCCTCTCTGAGCTACCTGGCTCCGGGAGTGCCATCTGGCCAGACTAATAAAGGTCTATTTACCATCTAGCCTGGTGTGTTCCCTCCTGGGTTTCTCATTTCTCCAGTGAGCTCCCGGAGCCTCTGTGGGTGTTAGGGCCCAGCATCGTGGAGGCCTTTTTGGCTGTTCACGCTCCGTGGAGTGGAAGTGAGACTTTAAGTCTTACAGCACCAGAAGCATCATGGGCCCAAGAAGGAAGAGGGCTGCTGCCGCAGAAGCACAGCTGGAAGTGAGCCCTGCTAATGGCCAGGTCTGCTGCACTAAGCCATGAACCTGCCAACAGACGTGTGTGGCGCACAGCAGAGCTCCACACGAGCATGCTGCCCCACAGGGCTCTCCAGAGGGAAACTGGGTGACTTCGTTGCTATCATTTATGGGAAGCCACTGCTTTCATGGAAGACCAGATGTATGGTATAAGAGAACGCTCTACTATTCTCAACATCTTCTAAAACTGTTCTAAAAACTAAAGTTCCTTTCCATTTCCAAAAACTTGAAAAAATTAGATTTCCCCAATCATCTACTGATTAAAATCTTAACATTTCTAAATATTTATCCATAATTAAAACCACAAGCCCAATACCATAGTTTCTCTTAAATGCTCACAAATTAAAGGGTAGACAAGCTACACACAACACAATAAAAAGGTGCTGGGTGATCTCCCACAGATGGAGTTGGTGACAGCAGCTAAGGCACCCAGCTCCTGAAGACCAGCTGTGCAGACCCACTCTCCCCTCCTGAACTACCAAGATGTGGAGAGCACAGACAGAAGGGCCTGCACAAGGCACCTGGCAGGGACACAGCGGCAAGCACAGGTGTGCCAAGGACTGCGGCCCCTCCTCCCAAGGCCTCTCTTGCCCCCTTAGCAGCAGCAGCAGCAAAGAGCAAGACACTGGGCAGAGCTTCAAGCAGCTAAGTACTGTGGGATACCATTCAAAGCAGAAAGAGACCTGTTAAAGGTGGTCTCTTGGGAAGGGCAAGCTGGAAATCATCAGACCTCACAACACATAGGCTCAGCCAATCATGCAATCTCTGAATACATTCAGGGGATCTGTCTGCACTGCAGCCCCTGCCACAACAGCACAACACAGGAGTAAGGAATGTTTGCCAAGGCCTCCAGCTACCTTTACGTTCCGAAAAAATGGCTGTCACAAGAGAAGAACCACAAACAAAAGAACAAAAAATCAACTAGGAAGCATACCATGACTGATTGACCACAACCAAAATGAGTAGGAGAACCAGACAAAGAAGAAGACTGTGGAAAATACAGAAAAGATCTCAGGCATAGATGGAACCTGGTGAGAAGGCCAGGGGACGGGAGGAACATGGTAAGAAGGTCCAGCGTACAAGTGACTGAAGCCCGAGCAGCAGCAGACAGAGAAGGGCAGAGAGACACAACTCTGAAGATCACTCCACAGGTGCAGTGTGAGCTGGGCAGACTAAGCGCGGGTGTACTTGCACACTCAAGTGCACACACACGCTAGAGTAGTGGTGGTGAACCTATGGGATGCATGTTATTGTGCTCCTCTATAGAAAGATGTTAAACCAAAACCTCAGCATCCAGGTTTAACTGCAGTGTTGGCAATGTGTGGTAAGTACGTGGGTTCTGGGTAGCAGTCTGGGCACTTGTTTCTACAGGGTGGTAAGGATGACACACTCAAGCAGAGGGTCTCCACGTGCAGTGGGCCTCACTCTGCCTAGCAAACTGTATCTAAACATGCTCCTGGGCTCAGCGTCGGGGCCTTGATTAGGTTCCCAGAACAACTTGGAGGTGCGGCACAGGGGACCGCACGCTGGGACCAGCTCCAGTGGAGTTTGAAGACAGGTGGGCATCACGGTGCTAATTTCCTGTTGAATGGTTCCTGTCATTATTTGAAAAGTTTGAAATATTCCTAAATAAAAAGCAGACAAAAATGAAGACTATTTAATGTAAGTGTGAGAATTTGTTGCCCACAAAGAATTCTTCAAGCAGAAGACCAAGGCCCCTAAACCGAAGCCTCAGGAAGATGTGGGCTGCATCAGGGTGGACGCGGTATGGACCCAGATGCACCCACCAACTGTACAGCAAGGTTCCCACGTCCCACAGGGCTTCAGATGCATGGGATCGAGGCACTTTACCAGGACAGCACAAAGGAGAAGGGACAGGCAAGTGGAGTTAACAGTACTCTGCAATCTTCACACTGCTCTGGAACTGGTAAACTACCAATTGAGGCTTCAGTGAATTACAGACGAAGATTTTAATTACCAGGGTAAGGACTAGCAAACAAATGGGAGGGGGTGCAAATGAAATTGAAAAAAACCCAAACAAAAGCAAACAAGAAAGGAAAAATAGCACACAGAACAGGCGGAAAAAATAGAAGTAGTGCCATAGGTTATTTCAATACAAATCTGTCACGGGTTGCAATAAATGCAAATACATAAATATTCCAGACATCCAAGCTGGCAAATATTCTTTAAAATTATCCCCACTTTATAAAGCATTCACATTAAATACAAATATAACCAGGCATGGTGGTATACGGCTGTAATCCCAGCACCTGGGAGGCTGAGACAGGAGGGTTACTTTGCATTCAAGGCCAGCCTGGGCTCCACAGTGAGTTCAAGGCTAACCTGAACCACACATAAAGACAGACAAGTATAAAGATAGGCTGAAGTTAAAAGACACAGAAAAAGCTACTTTGCATATACTCACCAAAAAAAAAAATGTGTTATATACTACATACATACTGAATGACGTTGCAAGGTAAAAAGCATTACTAAATACAGGGGAGAAAATGTCATACAAACAAAAGGATAAAAGCTCGAGCCTCAAAACATAAGCAAAGTGGGACTACCAGGACTTCTGGTGGCAGAGGGCCTGGGTGCGGCTGTGGAGGGTCTGCATGCAGCGTGGCTGCTTCTTGGAGCGGGAGGGGAAGGGCCCAGGAGGCGAGGGGAAGCTGACCCGCAGGCTGAGCAAGGTGCAGAGCTGCATGGCCCAGCCAGAGGAAGAAGCAACACAGCCAAGTTGTAGGACAGCAACACGCGCCGATGGCCATGGCGGTGCCTGGCGAGGTCTGTATAGCTGTGCCCCACCCCCAGGTCTGCAGTGGAAAAACCACCGCAGTCCTCGAGTAAAGCAGGAAGCAACAGACATTGATGGGTGCCGTGGGCACCTGGCAGGTCCTCTCACAGCAGACTGTGGAGAGCTCTCTGCAGGACACACGCGTTCACTGCACAGCAGGGAGCGTGGACCACAGCACGATCATTCACACGTTTGCCAGCAGCAAACACAGCCACGGCAGACTGGAAACGACCCATGCTAGTGCACAGCCTCGGGGGTGCTCAGCGCAGGCCACGGCTCCCCCGCTTGAGGAAGCCTGGCTGGAAAACACTCTCCACCCAGAGGACGAAGGATTCCGTAAGAAGGTGGGGATCAGAAGAGGACATGAAGGCCAGCACCTCTTCCCACTGTTTGTTCCCAGCCATGCCCATCCTCCCTCTGCACTCCCAGTCGAAGGACTCTGTAGAAATACAGACCTTACAGCTGGCCAAAGGATTGAGAAGAGTAACAGGAACCAGAAGTAGAACACGGCAGTAAAGAAATGGAGCCCAGCAAAGAACAGTTGTGAGCACACCCAGAACCACTGCAAACCGTCCAAAGAAGGTGGGCCCCACTCGCTTCCTGCAGAGACCCAGGGAAACAGCTGCTTCGCTCCCCCCCAAGGGCAGTGGCCCGTGTCCCCCCAGGACAGCTCCCCACATGTAGGTCTTACCTCTCTGAATTTGTGGTAGAGCCGGTCACTCTGGTGAGCTCGGATTGTGATTTCCGAGAGATAGACAGGGATACTTGTGTAATTCAGCACTTGCCACTTATCCTGAACCCCTGAAAGATGCGCTGTGTCCCAAGCTCCCAGCTCAGAAGCACAAACTCTGCACCGAAGACCTTGCCTGTGAGATGCCCCCACTTGGGAATCGAGGGCGAGCGCAGCCCAAGCAGGAACCCTCAGACAAAGCCTTCTGGGAACAAGGGCGCTCCAGTAATGAGAAGGGGCCAAAGTGTGCTCTGCACACAGGGACAGAGGAGCACCTACGCTCAGTTGCGTCACGGTGCTGTGCACACAGCACAAACTCTGCACCGAAGACCTTGCCTGTGAGATGCCCCCACTTGGGAATCGAGGGCGAGCGCAGCCCAAGCAGGAACCCTCAGACAAAGCCTTCTGGGAACAAGGGCGCTCCAGTAATGAGAAGGGGCCAAAGTGTGCTCTGCACACAGGGACAGAGGAGCACCTACGCTCAGTTGCGTCACGGTGCTGTGCACACAGGGAGCGCTCCCTGAAAATAAATGTGCACAATTTATGCCTGCCTGGGGAAAGACCAGGAGCAGTGGCCGCCCCCAGTGTCCTGCTGCAGCTCCTGCACATGCAGCGTTGTGTGGCAGTCAAGTGACAGGGCCCGTGGAGCCTGGGACCCCAGGTGATCTGACACCATCACTCTTGCAAGGTCTGAGGCTTCGTTTTCTTGGCACTAATAAATACAAATCAGGGACACTCTCCTGCTTTAACTACTTCATTTTGATAAGTGCTAAAGTATTTATACTTAAGCCATAATTTGCTTACTTTAAATTTAGTAAGATAAAAAACATCTTTAAGCTTTTACAAAGCAGCATTAAAAAGTTTCCTTTTTTATGGGCTCAAAACAAAGAAAATAATGATTTCTTATGGCCACTTTCCCACTCAGGAGTTAGGCAGTGGGCACTTCCTGTTTGTGAAGGCTCCAGTGGAGGCTCTGTGATGTTCCTGAAAGAGCCTAGACCCACCACAGCCCAAGACTGGCCGCCAGGGCCACAGAGAGCTGCCCACAGGTCCTGGGGTCACACTTCCAGAGGGCCACAGAGACTGAGGCGGGCTGAGCGCCCCCAAGTGTCCCAGATGCCATTCTCCGGAACAGGCACCAGGATCACTGTGCCCATGCGTGCGCTCCTAGGTGCATTTAGGTGGGTCTCTCCTGGTCAGGCAAACAGCTGCAACATTCGTACATCAAGACTGTTTTCTCAGCTTTGGTGTCAAGTTAGTTTTACCCGCTAAAAAATACTCAAATACTTCCAGAATCTCAAACAAGCAATTTGTCAAGTTTGTAAAGGGCATACAGCAACTGTATTCTGCTACACTGCTTTTCCTGGTTGTTACAAAGCCAATACGGGCATCAGACAAAATCCTGCACAGTACCAAAGTGAAGTCTTTGGCACTGCCCTCCCAGCTGCATGCAGATTCCAGAGGGAAGTGCGGGTGGCTCTCCTATATGGTGTTTCAAGTACATTCCAGACACATTTCAGTGATGAGTATGCATAGTTTCTTCACTGTTAACACAATTATTCTATAATGTTACTACACTTTTTGAGGTGATCTCAAATTAAAAACATCAACTAAAAATGAGTTCTTAAACATTAGCAAGTGTCAAGGTGGCCGGGGATGACTTAGTTTTCTCTCATGTTGAAAATCCTAAGAAAATGCCAGAAAATGAAAGCACTTAATGGCTTGTATGTGGACTACATAGAACAACAGGGCCACCTATGGTGAGATTGGCTGAATTACAGTCGACAAATAACCCCTGAATATCTCTCCAACACAGGCTGGTGTTGTTTGAAGATTTAAAAAGGAAAAGCTGCTGTCATTATTGCACAGCACATTTAAGCTGGTCTCAGTGGGTCAGCAGGTGCCAGGTGAGAAGAAGAAGAACAGCACAGGGCACAGTTCTAGGAAACCTGTAGGTCTGGCCTGACACATTCTGGACTGGAGATAAACAAGGAACAGACACCAGGAAGCTGTTTACAACTCAGGAAGCAAAATGCAGTGAAAGAAAACATTCTGTTTACAGAGCACTTCGTTTAATTAGGAAGAATTCAAACAGACTGAGAATGACATACGCTAAGTGTGCAGCCCAGAGGTAAGAGGCACTGAGGCCTGGTGTACAGTGTGAGGGCCGCACCATGCATTTTAAGACAATAGAGTGAGGCAGGAGGACACCAGAACATAAAATGGCAAATGAGGTTTATGACTCCACTCTTTCCAAGGTAAGAGAAAGTGTAACTTCCCCACAGCCTGCTGTCCACTTCCTCCTGAACTCTGAGTACCGGGTTCTGTAGGAGATACTGAGGATCCACCACCTACAGGCTCGCAGCACCAGAAGTCCACCTTGTGGAACTGTTGCAGGGGTCTCTGCGGGAAGGTAAGGCAGACAGCGGGTGGCAGGGATCGCAAGGCGGTTTGGGCGAGGGAGGGCCTGCACATCTGGGCACTGGGCTGGCAATCGGTGAGCCACTGACCCACGCTGCCAGAAAGAAAGGCGTCACTGTGACGTCAGTAACAAGCAACCTGAGGGGTGTGCATGAGACGGGATATGCAGGGCCGAGCCGGAAAGACAGGAGACAGAGACCAAAATAAAGAACACAGCAACCTGCAGCATGTGACTCTGGGAGAGGAGGCTTCAGGCTGGGGTACAGTGCATTGAGGAGTCTGGGTCCCCAGGATTCAAGTCTGAACAGATGCATGCAGCTCATGGCACCATGTCCTGCAGAGCACCAGCCGGGGTCACCCGGGAGCTCCCAAGCTACAGTCTCCTCACTGTAAGTGCAGGAAATGCTCCTGCACATCCTCCAGACACAGCCCCATTGTATGGTGGTGACTGCACAATTTCAGATGAGAAGATAGGCAAGCAGTTACAAGAAAGGGAGTGTGCTCAGCACGGTTCAGAATGGCGGAGTACAATGGATCTCTCTGGCAAATTCACCAACAGACGCAGACATACGTCTAGACCAGTGGTGGCAAACCTATAGCACACGCACTGCAGCGGGCTGTTTGTACCACCGAAAGCTCTAAAAGGTTCACCATCATTAGTCAACACAAACAGAAGAGACCGACAGTTTCAGCTCTAACAAATAAAGAGATTGGAAGCTGTCACACCTGTACACCTGTTTTCACAACCAAAAAAAAAAAAAAAAAA